GTGTGTGTGTGAGAGAGAGAGAGAGAGAGAGAGAGAGAGAGAGAGAGAGAGAGAGAGAGAGAGAAAGGTGTGCACCTATGTACGTGAATTCAGAGGTCACATCAGGAAGTCAGGTGTCCTCCTCTACCCTCTTCAGCCCCTTGGCCTTGAGGCAGGGTCTCTCGGTGAACCTACCACTTTCACTGGAGGGGATCATCAACACAGTCTCGGGATCCACCCAGCTCTGCCCCACCTTCAGGGTTATGGGAACAGCCTAGGGAGTCTAACACCTGTCTTCACACTTCGTAGAGTAAGTATTCTTACTCACTGAGACATCTCTCCCAGCCATCTGATGGCTTTGGTTGGTCTTCATGTCTAAATTACTATTGTTTATTAATGACATTTATATGAACTATCCTTACTCAAAACAGAAATTATGTTTTAACATTAACATTGAAATACTTAATCTCGCTGGAAACATCACCAAGATATTTAACTGGAAGACAGAAAATGACAGCAAGGAGGAAGAACAGTGTAAAAACTGAAAGGGGCATTTCAGGGCCAAGGTCAGAGATAAGAAGCAACTAGAGATGGTGACACAGAGCTGGGGAGGTGGCTCAACTGATAGGGTGTTTGCTTCATAAGCACCAGGACCTGAATTCAGTACTCAGGAACAATGCATTAAAAAGGAAAGAAAGAAAAAGAGCTGGACATGGTAGTGTGGTGACACACTTTTGGAATCCCATTGCTGGGAAAAGTCAGACCAATGGTCCCTGGAGTTTGTTAGCCACTGAGAAATCTTGACGGGGGGAGTCAGGGAGGGGTAAGAGAAGAGAGAAGGGGAGAAGAGGAAAGAGAAGAGGAGAGGAGGGGAGAGGAAAGGAAAGGAGAGGAAAAATAGTGCCTATGCCTGAGGAATAACACCCAATGCCTCTGCACACACCTGCATGAACATACACATGCACACACACACACACACACACACACACCTGAGCACAACTGTGTATATACAACATGGCACACATATGTAAACTATGAGAGGGAGGGAGAGATAAGGAGAGCACAGACACAAAGTGATCCAGAAACCCGAGGGATGAAGCCCCCAGGCAGCACACTGGCAGCCTGACTGCTCTTGATGCGTCCCTGATCTTTACAACCCCCAACAGTGGTGAGAGTGTAGGCTTTACACTTGGTAATGAGTGTGGCACTCAAGGTAAATTATCCTAAACGGGAGCTACTATTATATCATTTTGTAGGTAACAGAATTGAGACGTAGACTGGATGGGTAAATTACTAGGGAAGGGAAGGATGAAAGCAGGATTTGAACCTAGGAATCTGACACGGAGGCTCTACCTAGCTCTTAGCCACCCATCTTGGCGAGACGGTGCCACTTACTCATCACTCCTCGCAGCCTCTCTCCTGAGCCCCAGTCACCTAAGCAGCACTGTGTGTGTCTTCTCATTGGTCACTGCCACCAGCCCACAGAGCTGGAGCCCAGTGTGAGGCTGGAAGCAGGGTACCAGATGCAGCGTGAGCAGATATGCCGAGTTAGAACGGGATGATTTCAAAGGCTGAGAAGATGAGCGAATCGCGCTGGTCTAGGGTCACTAGATAATATTCTTGAGTGAGGAGGGAAGAAAGACAAAAGAAAGATGACAGTGGTTAGGAAAACAAAACACCTTTGGCACTGACTTCAAAAGATGGTAGCTGCGTCTAGAATTGAGCAGTAAGTGGGGATCGGCTCCCCCAAATGGATGTGGGGGCAGCTTTGGGTAAACGGAGTTCATGGAAAGTCATATAGGGAAAAATGAGTGATCTGCACAAAGACTGTGTCTCCAACACCAGTTATCCCAAGCGGCTAATGCCCACCTCCCTCTGCCCATTAGGCGTGTTTGCGATCATCGTTTAAGTCCTCGTTCATTCTTCCCTTCTCTGTGAATTATGATTCTCCCTCCTCCATATCTGTTCTCTTTCCTCTCCCGCAATCCTGTCTCTGGACCAACTCATTTTCTTCCACTCAATAAAGACTGTTGGATTAAAAAAAGTTCAAGGTCTCGGGCCGGCCCAGTGGCACAAGCCAAAAGCCAGTTCCCAATATCACTGAAGAGCTTTCTCTGTGGCCGCACGCAGGATTCTCAGGCTCAAACACCTAGCCCACCAGTGCAAAGATAATTCTTCAGTTCCCAGGAATGGTAGCACTCTCATCCTGAAACTGGAATCATCTCTGCTTCCTTCTCAATTTCTCCACAGAAGCTGCCCCCTGCGGTGATGTCCCATCAGCACCCGCCCCCTGTGTTCACCAGTGTCTTCCTTCAGACACAAGCATCTTATACGCTTTCTCCAGTAGCCTGGCCCCACTTCCCACTTTCACTCCGCCACCAGCTCCATCCATTCCACCCTCTGTTGTCAGGGTTTGGACACCTTAGACACGATCATAAAACATTTTTAATAGAGTCACTTGTGGGGCTAGAGATAAAGAGCACTGGCTGCTCTTGCAGAAAACTGGGGTTCAGTTCCCAGTCCTCATGTGGAGCTCATGAGCACTGGCACCTCACCACCTCTGTACCCCCACTTCCGGGTATTCTTATGCCCTCTCCTGGCCTCTGTGGACACCAGGTACACGCAGTGCGCAGTTACCTGAATCAGGCAAAACACTCAGACACATAAATAAAGATGAAAAATAAATGCTTTAAAAACAACCACGTGATACCCCAGTGACTGATGCCAAGATGAGACTCCCGGGACTGAGTTCAAGCCCTGTCTCTGATGAGCTCCGTTTACTGCTATTCCCAACAGCCTCCCATTGCCGCTCAGTGGTACCCCATTCCAACTGTAAACTTCCCTCTCCAGACCTTTGACAAGACCAGAAAGGACCTCTGAGAGGCCTTTCCACGCAGCAGGTCTGGGGCTAAGGAGACTGCTCAGGAGTGGTCGGGAACGACAGATTCACTACTTACGATGCACATTAACCTTGGATATCAAGAGGTGACTACATCCTGAGTGCAAAAAAATAAATAAATAAATCCCTGCCCTCCCACCAGACATGTTGGAGCAGGGGAGGACGGGGAAGGAGGAGCAATGCGGAGACTTTAAGAAAAGTGGCTAAATAATCTTTGGACTTGGGTTAGCAAGAATGAGAAGATAAGTGAGAGTTCAGGATCTCATGTTACTAAAATCGGGAAAAGAAAATGAATGGAAGCGACTGACCCATAGAACTTTCCAGAAAGGTGAAGGGGAAACAGCTTTGAGAGTCTAGGGAGGGAACAGACCACAGGTGTTCAGTTAGGCAGCTTTTCCACTCCTGGAAGATACTAGCCTTCTGCCCTTTGAGCCTCCACAGCAGCCTCATTCTCCCAGCATTGATTCTGAGGAACCGGAAGAGAGAAGGCTAGGCTGGGAGTTGAGTAATCATAGCTAGATTCTCTTGAATTGAGTTAGAAGTCACCCAGCATTCACTACTCATGATGCTGTAATGATGTCATAAACGGAGCTGCCTGCCCCCAGCCCACCCCCAGCTTCCTCAGAGCGCAGCAGAGGAACCAGCGGGGAAGTCCACTTCCCCAAGCACAGCCCTTCCATCTACCTCACTCTACTGCTTGCCAGTTTCACTGCCAACAGAAAGGGGTGAGTTGCACCTGAGCAGCCACGGCTGTTATTGTGCGTCTGGGTCCTAAGAACAACCTGCAGCAACCCCAGGGCCGAGTAGGATTGAGAGGGGTTTGTTTTGTACAAGTTTCTTGTTCTTTTCAATAGCAAGGACTAGAGTGGACTTTACCCATTTTTGGAATAAAAGATCTGCCTCCCCAGAGAGACATACTGACATTTGAACTATATTTCATGGAATTTCACTTTTTATTATTAAATAAAATCAAAAGCACACCAACTAAAGCCAGCTTCAAGCGTTGATAGAAACTAGAAACCCAGCCGGGCGGTGGTGGCACACGCCTTTAATCCCAGCACTCAGGATGTAAGGCAGGTGGATCTTTGTGAGTTCGAGACCAGCCTGGTCTACAAGAGCTAGTTCCAGGACAGGCCCCAAAGCTACAGAGAAACCCTGTCTCGAACACCCCCCCCCAAAAAAAAAAAAACTAAAAACCGTGTCCAAATTCAGAAGTTACGCTTTCTTTAAAGAAAGCCCTACCTCAGGGCAGAACTCAACAGAAAAGGAATTTCCTTCTGAAAATCATATTTCTTGCTTCAAACATTCATAAATTCACGAAATTAGATTCCCCCACTCAATCTCTTCTCTCCTGACCTCTTCCTTCTCCCCGACTGTTCCACAGAGCCTGGTGATCCCTTGAGGGGAGGGAAGGACGGTTCTAGAATGGTTCATGGGGCTAAAAATAGTCTCAGTTGCCTTCCCTTGCCTCAGTCTACCAGAAAAGAAAGCAGTTTTCAAGACTGGATGGCCTAGGAGTCAGCTCACAGATGTGCCTGCCATTCCAAGCCTATTCTCTCACCTGCTTCCCGAGGGTAACAACATGGCCACCTGGGGCCACCAAGGCTTCCAGGAATGCAATCACATTATGGACTCTGAAATAATGACTTACATGAATTATGCCAAACACAAGGGGTTACAAAAAATACCAACACTGAAATTCCAAGTCTTATGGTTGTTGTGACATTCCAGGATCCTAAGAGCACCTGCTTGGAGTCTAGAATGGAAGCAGGGAGAGAGGAAATCAGAGTGAGGGCAGACACCTAAACACACCCCAAGTCCACAGGCAAGAACGGCTCGCTTAGATGTTCTAGAGACCGAACCATGAAAACAGCATGGGCCAGCAGGAAGAAGCCCTCACTGACACTGTCTCTCGTTTCTTCTCAGGCCTACATATCCAAGAACAAAATGTCTAGTGATGATAAGAACAAGACCAGTGATCCCAAGAATGAGCCCAAGTACTGTGACCCCAGATGTGAACAAAAGTGTGAGGCCAAATGCCAGCCCAGCTGTCTAAGGAAGCTGTTGCAGCGCTACTCTGACAAGTGTTCACTGAAGTGCCCACCACCACCGAAGTGCCCCCCCTGTCCCCCGTGTCCGCCTTGCCCCCTGCAATGTCCACCACCATGCCCCAACATGGTGTGTGTTGAAACTTGCCCTCCCAGGTGCCCCTGCTCATGCCCACCCCCAGAGTGAGGCACTATGGGCAACACTAACCCCAGTGTCACCGGCCTCCATTACCACCTACAGCTTTGTGGGGCTAGAAGCAAAACCATGAACTGACAAGTAAACACGTTCCTCTGCTGCGCAAGACTTCCGTCTTGGGGGACTCGCTTTGTTCTCTGGTGGTGGTCACACAGCACTGTGCCAAGAAGCAATCCTTGGCCGTGAGAGCTCCAGAGGCCCCACAGCCTCTGCCTGTCGCTTAGAGCTGGGAAGCCCCGCTGGAGCAAAGTCTGAGTGATTCTTAAGTGTGGTTGTGCCTGGTAAAGTATGTAATCCCAGGAAACAGGACACATGAAAAGTGTGTGTGTGTGTGTGTGTGTGTGTGTGTGTGTGTGTGAGAGAGAGAGAGAGAGACAGACAGACAGACAGACAGACAGACAGAGACAGAGAGAGTGAGAGACAGACAGAGAAAGAGATAAAGATTGGTCAGAGATCTAGAAACGTTCAAGAACCAACATTCCACCGGCCTGCCTTTAGTCCTGCCGCATAACTCTCAGGCAAAGGGCTCGGAGAGCCTGCCTGGGTTTAAACTCTAGCTCAACCCCCTAATGACACTGTGACTTTCCATCTGCCACTTAACTTACTCATGCCTCGGTTTCCTCCACTGTGTTATAGGGAGGACAGTCCTATTTTAGTCAGGGGTTGGGTGTCCTGGAGCACAGCAGATAGTGGGTGAAGAGGCAGCAAGTACAAGGTCCACCTGGCTCCTCTGCTGCACAGTCTGCTCCGTGTAGATTCTAATTCTGCTGAGCACAGCACTCAAGTTCCCAAGTGCCCCTGTAGACTTAGAAATAGATGTTTTTACTGTTTTTATTGAGCTACATGATTTTCTCTGCTCCTCTCTTTTTCTCTCCCCTCCCCTTCTATCTTCTCCCATGATTCCCAAACTTGCAATTTACTTAGAAGATCTTGTCTTTTTCTACTTCACATGTAGATTAGATCCATGTATGTCTCTCTTAGGGTCCTCTTTGTTGTCTAGGTTCTCTGGGATTGTGAATTGTAGGCTGGTTTTCTTTGCTTTATGTCCAAAGGCCACTTATGAGTAAGTAGATATTTGTCTGAGTCTGGGTTACCTCACTCAAGATGATGTTTTCTAGATCCATCCATTTGCCCACAAATTTCAAGATGTCATTATTTTTTTCACTGTGTAGTACTCCATTGTGTAAATGTACCACATCTTCCTTATCCATTCTTCAGTTGAGGGGCATTTACATTGTTTCCATCTTCTGGCTATGACAAATATTGCTACTATGAACACAGTTGAGCACATGTTCTTGTGGCACGATTGAGCATCCTTTGGATATGTACCCAAAAGTAGTATTGCTGGGTCTTGAGGGAGGTGGTTTACTAATTTTCTAAGAAATCGCCACACTGACATCTAAAGGGGTTGTACCAGTTTGCACTCACACCAGCAATGCAGGAGTGTTCCCTTTACCCCACAACCTCTCCAGCATAAGTTGTCATCAGTGTTTTTGATCTTGGCCATTCTTACACCTGTAGGTGTAAGATGGAATCTCAGAGTTGTTTTGATTTGCATTTCTCTGATGATTAAGGATGATGATCACTTCCTTAAGTGTCTTTCAGCCATTTTAGATTCCTCTGTTGAGAGTTCTCTGTTTAGGTCTATACTTCATTTTTTATTGGATTATTTATTCTTTTGATGACCAATTCTGATTTCTTTGTAGAAATAGACATTATTAAAATAAGAATGACTTGTATGTTGTATCATTTACCTCACTTTGATATTAAAATTCAATAATATGTCACTACTTAAAGAATCTCAATGAAGAACTCTTGGGACCTTTGTTTTTGCAAATTTATGCGAATCTATAAGATTTCAAAATTAAAACTTTAGTATAAAAAGCAGGTATGCTTGTGGGAGAGCAGCAGTCAGGGAAGGCGCGCACATCTGATATTTAGTGAAGATTTTACAAGCAGTTAGTGAGCCCAGAACAAACTGAATGAACAAGAAGGGCTGGACAGGCTCGTGTTGCTGAGATGGGGACTGCAGTGGGATACAGTAGGCTTAGATTACCGTAACAACCAAGAGCCTCGGTGCCCACGTGCGTGGACTCGGCTTTCAGCCTTCCTCCCCTGCAGGTGTCCCATTCTCTCACCTGAAGTGCACAGATCTAGTTCGGGAATGGTCAGACAGGAGGGTGTTCCTCTTATCTCCAGTCAAAGGTCAGGAGCTTACTCCAGCAGCCAGGCAGCTGACAGCCTTGTCACACAGGTCAAATCACCTGTGCTTTAGAGTAGCCCACAATGTTTCGATGGAATCCTGGTTTGGAATTCTCTGCAGTAGCAGGAAGCAATCACGAAATGGCTCTTCATGGACTCAGAGCATGCCAATACTCCCCGTCCTTCCACGGTGTTGAGAAGATGATTCAGAACAGTCAAAGGCAAATACAGACACTCAAAAAAAAAAAAAAAAGAAATCCTGAAAAAGGGCACCGGGACACTTCTGATTGAATTATAGACACACTTAGAAGACAAAGCTAGACAAGGACTTCAGGGCACTGGTCTCCCAGGTTCTAGATGTGACAGGTAGTAGTTACTCTCTCTGACATGAAGCCTGAGTCTCAGGGTCTCCTGGGAAGCCCTGTCCCCAAAGTTTCTATGCTCCGCACCTTTGAAGAAAGGTGTCTGCTGAATCTCAGAGACTGCTGGAAACCCTTGTTAGGTTACAGGGTCAAGTATTAACAGGACGAAAACATCTCACCTCAGAGGCAATCAAACCATCGGGAAGGGGAAGACGAAGGATAGAATGAGATGATCTGCACCGAAAGTTTCACTAAAATAATAAATCCCTGGGGCCGAGTGTTAAGAACGTGTCATTAACCTAGTCCTAGGGTGGGAAACCTTGCCCAGCCCTGATACCAGGGGGGTGGGGTCTTGGTCCTGCCTCAGCTTGATATGCCAAACTTTGTTGACTCCCATGGGAGCCTTACCCCTTCTGAATGGAGACAGAGGAGGGGTGGAAGTGGGGGAGGGAGAAGGGAGGGGGGAGGAGGGAACAGGAGGAGAGGAAGGAGGGGAAACTGTGGTTGGTATAAAAAATAAATAAATAGAATGTGTCATTATTGGTCACCCTTTTAGAAAACAATTCTGCAAACATGGCAATATATGTCAAAAGCATGAAACGCCTCAACAGTCCCTGTGGATTCAATTTGGAGAAACCAAAGAAAAGTAACTGTGGCAGTGGGGTAGAAGCTAAGGAAATAAAACAATTACCACAGTGTAACTTAGGGGAAAAAAACTGTAAATATCTAAGGAGATTTGATTAAATTTACACTTGTTACTTGATGGAGCACTGCTCAGCCCCTGAATCCATACAGAAGAAGGGTAGAGCTACAGATCAGGGGCAGAATACTTCAGCATGCCCAAAACCCTGGATCTGCTGGCCAACATGAAAAAATATAAAGAGGGAATAGTAAGGTCTCAGCTTCCACAAAGCAAGCAGTTTCAACTCAGAGCAGCTATGAATAACAATAGAAAAATTAGTTGTCCTCACTGTTTCAGTATAGTGAGGACATAAATAATATTTCTTTATTGCTTCTTGAATTTTCATTAACATGTATTTATTTGTTGTGTAATAAAAATAATAATGAGCACTTCAAGGGCTGCCGGAGTGTCTGGTAGGCCTTGGAAGGGCGCATCCACATTACAGAGGGAAGGTTCACCTTGAGAACACGGCCTTCCAAGAGGCACCATTGGAGAACAGGCCAGGAGCTGTAGCCTCAGTTTCTAGAAGCGCACACGCAGTCTAGGAGGAAGGCCAGATCTGGGAACAATTGTACATCTACCTCCAGCTTAGTCCTTGCATCTTCCATGTAAATGAAACTGAAGATAGTCATCTTAATGGTTACCTTTCCAACCCAGAGCTAGATCAAAGGCAGCTCTGGGGAAGAAGACCAGAATTTGATGAGGAGGCAGGAGCTCCCCTGAGTGCTGCAATTACTCCCAGCTCCCATGGCAGCCACTGAGACTCGGCCTTAAATGGTAGAGAGCTGTACATATAGGCAACACCGGAACAGTGAGGTCACCCATCTGCAGTGCCAGAGAGATGACTTACAATGAGGTGGGCAGGGCCAAGCACCCTTCCTTCCTGGTTTCCATTCGGAGAGTCCCAAAGCAGACGCCACCACAGAGCCATGGGCTAGCTTTGAAAGTCCAGGCCAGCTAGGAGGCCCATGGCTCTCCAGGAAAGGTGCAGGCTGCCTGTCACCTGATATACTAGCTAGGGCAATGGAGAGAGGCAGAGAGGAGGAGAGGGTGAAAAATACGTACTAAGACCATGCCGCTAGGGGTCTTCACCTCTGGTCCATCCCCAGCTGGGCTGGTGAGGGACCCAGAGGAGGCTTTCACATCACTATCTGAGCTGGAAGTGGCATTTCCAAGTGAGGAACCACTTAACAAAAACCCCTGAGCATTAGCTGGGTTGTCAGACTATTTCTAACCCCAGTTTAGGGCCCGATGAGGCAGGACCCAGACTCAAAGTGGAAAAGATGGGAGACCAACAGCGAAGCTAAGCAGTCTGAGGACATCCTTCCTCCCCGCGTCTGTCAGTGGCTCTTGCCCTGGGGCTCCTGCCCCCTAGAAGGGGAAGCCACACATTTGAACATTTTCTCACATTTGTTACAAACCACAGGTTGCTGCTATACACACTTGATGTCTTCTTGAAACCCCTGAAGTCTCTCCAGTAAAACAGTCTGACTTTCCGTGTCCTTTTCTCCAGGGGTGAACTTACCACCTGACCTTGAGCAAGGCCCAGATGACTTACTCCTCACTTCCATCGTCTGAAGGTCACAGCTGATAGGTAGTCTGCTGCCTGTAAAAACCAGGCTCTGGGGCTAGAACAAGGAAGTGGAGTCAGGTGTTCTCCTTCACCCCTCCAGCCTGAAGGGCCTGTGAGCCCCGCCTTTCGCCTGTCTGATTCAGACTCCTCTGTGGGTGACATGAAGAGAAGGCAAGAAAATAGCTCTCTCCACAAGGAATTCACAAGCTCAGTAAACTCCAGAGGCACCTGCCAGGCAGCCAACAGGACGAGCCACATTCTACCCTTCTCGTTGTTATCAGACCCATCGCCCTGTAATACGCGGGTGAGCGAATCAAAGGAGTCTAGGAAGTTTTATGATCTCCACAAAGGAGATTGTTATTTGATGGGAATGGAGGAAAAACAATCTTCTGCATTACCCAGGTC